GCTTTAAGAGCGGATTTAGAAACTGATAAGTCTAGGTCTAAAGAAGTTGCGAAGACGTTAAACTCAGCTAGTTTTATTAAGATCCTATAATCCGTTTTGCTGAAGCCAACACGAAATACCTTAAAGCGACGAAGGTTTCTACTCGGAACACTGTAGTGCAACCTCTCAAGAAGGGACGGGCAGTCAATCCTGCCTGACGCAATGTCAGATATAAAAGATATCGCCAAGAGTGTTCTTCTGTCATTTAAGGACAGTAGGCTGATTACAAGGCACCGAGACTCATATGACGGAATCGGGAGTGTGAAGTTTAGCGAAACGGAGGGAAAATTTTTTCAACTCTCTCCAACCTGTTAATATGAATAGCATGATATGGTCTCCAAATAAATGCCGCATATTCTAATTTAGACCGCACAAAAACCGAAAACAACATCTTAAGTGTGTATGGATCTGAGAAATTAGGAGAGTTCCTTCGTACAAATGCAAGCATAGCAAGCGAGTTTTTTATGATATATAGCATTTTCAGTTTAAATGAAACTTTTTTCAAATTAAATGAAACCTTTTTCAGCTTAAGCGAAACTTTTTCAAAACTATTCAAATTAAATGAAACTTTTTTCAGATTCAATGAAATACGGTTGCCAGACGTACTGATTTTAACAGTACAGTACTGATTTTTCAACTCTTGTACTGATTTTATTCATTTCTTCAATCAGTACGCTAATGTCCTGATTTTTCAAAATTGGTACTGATTTGTACTGAATTTTCTATTCAAACAAAACACTTTTGTATTTTCTTAAGGTTTTTACATAACGTTGGAACTTCCTTAAACTGTACTGTAAAAAATAAGAAGAAAATAATTTAATTATAGTTGACATGTTTTAGATTATGTTTGATATGCCCAAGAAATTAATACAAAAGGATCAATCGTTTTATGGGCATATCGCCGGATCGTTACGTACCGATAATATGATGGAGCTTAAATTATTTAAAAAGAAGGCTTAAGTTTTTCTCGAGTGTTGTTAATTATCTCGAAAATAACTTTCAGTTTATTAACAATAAATTTCAATATTAATGTGGCTTTTGCCTATAACCTACAACTCCTTCTTCTCAATTTACTGACTCTGTAAAAGAGTTTTGCATACAAGACTTACAGTTATGCTGGATTTCCACTAGGCGTTAAATGGCAAAAATGACAAATGACAAAGTCAGGCATTAAAAGAATATTGTGTCATTACATTAAAAAAATTATCATTAAATTCATTTCCACATGGCATTTTTTTAAATGGCATACATTTTTTGTCATTTCAATGCCTAGTGGAAATTCGGCATTAGATACTCTTTTTAGCGAATTCTTAGTCTTTCACAGTTTTTGCGTAGTTGAAAAATTATTTAAGCCATGAGGAAATATAGATGAACTCCTTAAAACGTGGTACTTTTTTACAGATCTTAAGAATAAAGTTTGTTTCCTGGCGCAAAGAGAGAAACCGGCTTCTAATTAAAATTTTTGAAAGTGAACTTCAAATTAAAAGTAATTTTTAAATGAAATGTATAGAATTCTTTGACTATTTAAACACTGAAAATGGGAATGATCTCATTATTGCTATTCAAAAATGTCATAAATATAAAATAATTTATTGGCTCGTGTGTACGATGATGTGTACACTCATGTTAAAATGAATAACATTTTTATATTTGAGTGAACCCGTATGGCGTTTTTGTTTAAAATATTTTTTTTTATAAAAAAAGGTATTTTTCCTTTGCATATCAGAAGAAAGCGGGTTTAATCACGTTTACGACGATATTTTTTAAATCAGTTCAAACTTGTTTGAAATATAAGGCTTTTAATTTATCGAAAACCCGACCTTTGACCCCTTATAGCACCTGTAACAGAAAAAGTTATATATTCGTTTAAATAAGAGAAAAGGGCGTACCACGACTATGTTTTTACTTTTTTTAGTAGTTCACATACAGTAATTAAAAATAATTTTTTACCAAAGGTCCAATTTCGAACTTCGAACGGAGATATTACTTTTTTACCTATGACTCAATCTCTTAAAAAAAGTTGGTTTAGTCCAATACCCAGAAAAAAAGTTGATTTTGTCGTACAGTGTTATTGCTATTCAATAAGTCACAAATATAAAATAATTTATTGGCTCCTGTGTATGATGATGTGTTCACTCATGTTAAAATGAATAACACTTTTATTTTTTATGAAATATATTTTATTTATATACCAAAATATTGTTAAAAATAAGAACTCAAGCGTTTTAAATTATTTTCAGTTTATTACATTCATAATTTTGCTTTGAATAAAAATGTACTGAAAAGTACTGATTTTTTTAGGATGAAACAGTCGAATGTACTGATTTCGCGCATTAAAAATCTGGCAACCCTACAATGAAACTTTATTCAAACCAAATGAAATTTTTTCAAATTAAATGAAACTTTATTCAAATTAAGTATTAAACATTTTTAAATTAAGGAACAGGAAATCAGGAAAGTTGTGGAGAAGAAGAACCCGAGCCCGCAGTCGATGATGAGGGAGTCGACGTTCCACCGCCTGACCACGAGGTACGTATAGCAATAACGCGGCTGAAAAACAACAAAGCCGCTGGAGCTGACAGCCTGCCAGCTGAGCTATTCACGTACGGCGGCGAGGAGTTGATAAGTTGCATGCATCAACTCTTGTGCAGAATATGGTCAGATGAATGCATGCCCGACGACTGGAATTTAAGTGTGCTCTGCCCAATCCACAAGAAAGGTGACCCCGTCATTCGCGCCAACTACAGCGGGATCAGCCCTCTAAGCATAGCTTACAAGGTCTTATCGAGCGTTTTGTGTGAAAGACTGAAGCCTACCGCCAATGAAGTGATTGGGCCTTATCAGTGTGGCTTTAGACCTGGCAAATCCACCATAGACCAGGTATTCACAATACGCCAAATCTTGGAAAAGACCCGCGAGATAAGGACACTCGTGGTGAGTGTTTGTCGATTTTAAAGCCGCTTTTGACAGCACTAAAAGAAGTTGCCTATACGCCGCTATGTCTGAATTTGGCATCCCCTCAAAACTCATACGGCTGTTTAAAATGACGTTGAGCAATACCACCAGCTCCGTCAGAATTGGGAAAGATCTCTCCAAGCCGTTCGCCACAAAACGGGGTTTCAGACAGGGCGACTCCCTTTCATGTGACTTCTTTAATCTGATGTTGGAGAAGATAATAAGAGCTGCAGATCTGAACCGCTCAGGAACAATTTACTACAAGAGCGTGCAATTGCTGGCTTATGCCGATGACATCGACATCATCGGTAACAAAAACCGCGAAGTCTGTTCTGCCTTTTCCAAGTTTGATAGGGAACCAATTGAATGGGTCTGGTGGTAAACGAGGACAAGACGAAGTATCTCCTGTCATTAAACAAACAGTCAGCACATTCGCGCCTTGGCACCCACGTCACTGTTGACAGTTACAATTTCGAGAAAGTAGAGAATTTCGTTTACTTGGGAACCAGCATTAACACCGATAATAATGTCAGCATTGAAATCCAACGCAGAATCACTCTTGCCAACAAGTGCTACTTTGGACTGAGTAAAGTCCTCTCTCGACGTACGAAAACCGCGTGCTGGTATATGGCGCAGAAGCATGGACAATGACAACATCCGATGAGGCGGCTCTTGGAGTGTTTGAGAGAAAGATTTTGCGGAAGATTTACGGGCCTTTACGCGTTGGCGACGGCGAGTACCGCAGACGATGGAACAATGAGCTGTATGAGCTTTACAACGATATGGACGTAGTGCAGCGAATTAAAATACAGCGGCTCCGATGGCTTGGTCATGTCGTTCGAATGGACACCGACGTTCCAGCTCTGAAAGTATTCAACTCGGAACCCGCTGGTGGTAGCAGAGGAAGAGGGAGGCCCCACTGCGATGGAAAGATCAGGTGGAGAAGGACTTGGCTTCACTTGTCGTTTCCATTTGGCGTCAGTTGGCACAGAGGAGAAACGACTGGCATGCTTTGCTGAACTCGGCCAAAATGGCTTAGGCGGTTACAGCGCCAAAAAAGAAAGAAAGAACAGGAAATCAACTTAACCTATTAAGAGCCGTTTGCACCATGTCTGGCTAACACTAAAGGCTCTGTTATGCATACTTGGCATTGCTTGAGAGTTGTCACATAAGTAATCTGTTAAATGAGCTTCGCGTGTAAGCTGTTACCCAACGCACAGCATTACATACGTAGAAGTCTGTTGGTTTTTGATTTCTAGTAAAAACACGTACGTAACAGAGCGTTAAAGCTGAAATTAGTCAAGAACGTAAACCTACCGGTACGTAAACCCGAGTCAGCTGACACGATCTGTCTTACCAAAGCGCCATGTAAATGAAAACTCAACACCGCAGAATTTGTCTGTAGTTGTAGCCCGTAGCGCAGAAATCTGCGGAATTTAGATTTTTCCGTGTCAACTGATTTCTCCTTCTTTAGATGGTTGCCAATTCGTCAGTTTTACAGCTGGTAAAAAACATATAAGTTCCTATTCAAAATATGTTTAAAATATTTGAAATTTACTCTTGAATAAGGTTTTTGTTGAAAACTAAGTAGTTTATATTTAGCTACGATCTATTATAGCACGAAAAATTGTAGTTGAAAGGGTAAGTTTATGAAAATGCATTGATGAGTGGCAACAGTGTAGTAAGCAACACTGAGGGCTCCAGTAATGGACAAAATTCTGCGTATACAGACTGCGTTTAAGTATACGTTCTGCGTTCTCGACTAATTTCAGCTTAACTCCCAGTTACACATCGTTATCGACGTTATCGACGCCATACTTATATCAGGGAGTCGATAACGCCTATTATGATGTTTAACTGGGAGAATATTTTTACTGTTGCTACACGGGAGAAGAGGGAAATAAAGTACAAATACCCTCCCTTCTCACTCACTTGCTTAAGCGAAATGTAAAATTTGGAATTTGCATAACAATTGTCTAATTATTTTCTTTTAACTTAAACAAACTCTATGGATTAGAGCACAGTCCAAGCACGGCAACATTCAACTTCGGTTCATGTACTTCTGAAAACAGAGATATTTGAAGTTTTATAAAATGAATAAATTATATGATTTGCCTAGTTACCACAAAACCCCTCGAAAATTACAACAAACCAACCAACCAACCAAAGCCTTATTTTAAGAAATGAAACTACCAATTTTGGTCCAATTGGACCGAAACGGCAACACTGTATTCAACATGCCTTGACCGTAAGGGAGTGCAACACGAACAGCTAATTCAAAGTAATCCAAAAAAGAAGTTTCAATTCATTTGAATAAAGTTTCACTTAATTTGAAAAAAGTTTCATTTAATTTGAATAAAGTTTCATTTAATTTCAATAAAGTTTCATTGAATCTGAAAAAGGTCTCATTTAATTTGAATAAAGTTTCACTGAATCTGAAAAAGGTTTCATTTAATTTGAAAAAGGTTTCGCTTAACATGAAAAGGTTTCATTTAATTTGAAGAGAGATATCGTTAATGAACAGGTTAAAGAATAGAGGTCCTAATATACTACCCTGAGGTACACCTGAGATAGCAACAAAAGGGTTCGAAGCCAAACCATCTACGACAACCGTACATATCCTGTTGTGCAAGTAGGATTTAGTCCACTTTAAAAATTTGGAATGAAGGCCAAAGCACTCCAACTTAGTTATAAGAATTTTGTGGGAAATTTTGTCAAAGGCTTTGGAGAAATCCGTATAAATCGTATCCACCTGCACGCCTCGACGAAAAGCTGCATAAAAGTCTTCAGTGAAGACAGAAAGATTTGTTAGCGTAGATCTTCCTGCAACAAAACCATGTTGATTAGAATAGATCAAATGTTTGGCGTGAAAGTAAAGTTTCTCATTAACGATAGCTTCAAACAGTTTGGCAGCGGTTGATAGTTTTGACATCGGTCTGTAGTTAGAAATATTGGGGCGTATTCTTGTTTTCGTACGAATCGAAAATCATGAAATTTTCCTATCATTTTCTATACAAAATTTCAAATTTTCGATTCGTATGAAATCCAGAATATTCCGCATTATGCATACTACCGCTCTTAACTATTGGGGTGATAGAAGTTCGCTTCCAATCATCGATACAAATTCCAGACGATAAAGATTTGTTGAATAATAATTTCAGCGGTTCCACCATCGAATCACAACTGTTAAATATAATTGCCGAGACCCCATCAGCATCAGTGTGCGAAGAATTTTTTATGTATCTTATCCCTTTAATTATGTCCTCATCGGAAAGAACGAGAGCGCCAAAGCCAAGGGGAGAACACATGGTAGAGGAAAGGTTCCGTCGAATACAATCTAAATCATCGTCGGACACTTCAGTGAATTCCTTATAAAAAACGGTTTTGGGTATGCTTGATGATTTTCTTTTGGAATTAATGTAGCGCCAAAAAAATTTCGGATTATCCCTTACCTCCAGTTCATAGTTCCGAATATACCTTTTGTACAACACTTTGTTTAGCTCATTGAACTCATTTTTAACCGACTTCCAAAAAAGGAAGAGGTTATCAATTCGTCGGAATATTTATATTTTTTTTATGTGTGTTATCGCATAACTCTGGACCACGTCAACCGATTTCGATAATTCTTTTTGCATCGGAAAGGTAATGTCTCAGAGGTGGTCCCATACTGGTTTAGATCCGATCATTGGATCATGAAATATATATCTATATACATACACATTTTTTTTATATGAGAATTGAAGTCTGTTTCTTTTGCTAAAAATTACTTGTTATAGGACACAAATAAGTCATAAAAGCGCTGCTTCTTGGTAGACCTAAATTAAAAAAAAAATTTATTTCGCAAATTCTTTAGCCGTCTTATTTTTGCTATTGGAAGTTGGAACATATTCAATGCACAACTTAGCAATATTGGACTTGAAAAGCAAAGCAACCTGCTACTTCGTTATCGCAAACAGAACTTGCCAATGAAACTCACTAATTGCTGAGTCTAAGAGATTAAAGTCGCAACGAGCGAAGTTGAAAGTAGCTTTATACTAGGTTCACATATAAGTAGATTATCCTCAAGAGAGGAGAAATGCCAGATGTAAAAGTAAACAAAAATGTACTTTAGCAAGGAAAAGAGGTTTGTAAAGGTATTTTTAATAAAATGTTAAGTTAAAATATATTTATATTGCTTATTATAGTATAAAAACGTTACCACGGTGGCACAGAGAAGAAACATAACTTTTCCTTGAGATGTGAGAATAACAAGCACAACAAATTTGACGGCTAATAATCTGCGATTTGCCTGTGTAAACGGGGTGATTAAAAAACGAGCTTTGATTGAGAAAATATTGATATGTGAACATAGTTTTATACTAGGTTCACATATAAGTAGATTATCCTCATTTTCCAGCTTAACACCCTAATCTGTAATTATAACAAGAGATTAGCCATATAAAATTCATCCCTTGTTAATCTGTAATTATAAAATAGTCTCCGATTAAACCGATAATTTTTCGGTGTCCATCCTAGTTTTATCGATTGTTTTTGCAAAAAAGAGGAGAAATGCCAAATGTAAAAGTAAACAAAAATGTACGCTAGCAAGTAAAAGAGGTTTGTAAAGGTATTTTTAATAAAATGTTAATTTAAAATATATTTATATTGCTTATTATAGCAGAAAAACGTGATCACGGTGGCACAGAGAAGAAAAATAACTTTTCTTTGAGATGTGAGAATAACAAGCTCAACAAATTTGACGGCTAATAATCTGAGATTTGCCTGTGTAAACGGGTTGATTAAAAACCGACCTTTGATTGAGATAATATTGATATGTGAACATAGTTTTAGCGTTAGTAGGACCCAGCGAAAATTGAGGTTAGTTATCGATTAGAGAATGATTGGAGAACTAGCCACATTCTCCAATCTCAAACGTCAGAGAACGACTCGAAAAACTATCGAGAATCATAGCGATCTCAACAAAAATGGGACATAGTTCTCGACTCGAGAAAATATTAATTTTCTAATCGAATTATAATGTTGATCTCTAATGGGATTCGAATGTGAATTTTAAACTGCTCTTTTGCTTTAATAAATAACACGCTTTGTTTGTAAAATTTGTGTTGAATGCATTTGCAATAAAATAATAATGCATTATTTGAACTTAAACTTTATTTATGATTCATTCATGTGGAATATTATTACTTATTTACAAATAGTTGAATTTGGGTTGTTTCTCTAATCGTTCTCGAATCGAATTCTAATATAGTACTTTAAAAGCATAAACAGACGGCAGCGTTGATCCGGATCAACTCGGGAATTAACTGCAGTTGATCCGGATTAAGTCCTAGTTAATCCGGATCAACGATTCCGTCTGTTTAAGCTTTAATTTCGTCATCGACTTGAGAATGATTAGAGAATTACCCTAGTTATCTAATGTAGGGCAGAGCTAATGAGGTTTGCTGGCCGCTCTACTTTTGCGCTGTCCTCGTTTGTTTACTCGCTCGCTGGCTGCTCAGCGCGTGCGCTCGTACTTAACGAGTGCTCGTTTGGAAACAGCCTCGTCTGTTGCTCGTGAGTTGCGTAAACTAACGAGCGAGCGAAGGGCTAAAATGAGGCAAATCCGAACCCTGGTTAAGACTAGTATCGCCCCGTTATCGAAATTCGACCACTTCACTTTTTTCACACACTTTTTCATTTTGCCTGGGAAGTTTTTTAGGTCCATCAGCACCTGTTAATCGTCTAGCTCACTTACATATATTTTATGGTGGAGTAATATACATTCTGTTAAACAATTTAAAAATTCATAGATGGTGAAACCAAATCAGGCACCTACCTGAAAATAATACCCTTCGAACAAAAGAAGAATAATTCAAATTGGTTGAGAAACATAGGAGCAGTAGGGAGGAATAGATTTGTATTTTGCAGGTGTATTTCTCTTGATGTTAATAATATGTATTTTGAATTTGAATCTAATCGGACCATAAGTGAAGTTTTTCGGAATAACTCCACTCTTACTCCACCTACTGAAAAAACAAACAAAATGCGCACCTCCCCTTTGAAATACTTTTCGAACAAAAGAAGAATCATTCAAATTGGTTGAGAAACATGGGAGCAGTAGGGAGGAATAGATGTGTATGGGATTTCGTTAGCGTATTAATATATAGATTGTCTTTTCAAATGGAACCATTTAGTTTACACATATCGTCGCCTGGGTAAAAGATTGTCGTAAGCGTCATACGTACGTGCATAACATACGACATTCTTTTAACCAGGCGACGATATGTATTAATAAGGACTAATCAATCAACTACATTGCAATTTTTAAATAAAATTTTTGAGGGATATTTTTATATGTCATCCTGCCCCTGCCCCCCTAAATTCGATCCTGGCGACGCCCATGGAGGAATCATATAAGGAATTATACATTACGAAAGTATACGTATATGCAAATTCGTGTCATACAGCAAGCATTGACTACTTTTTAATGTTTTATTTATTTGTTTTTGAAATTAACAATATATTCCAGAATTTATAATTCGTTTTAATAAATCCACTTTGTACAAAATTTGTTATATACATACAGTATCAATAGCACCCCCATTTCAAAGTGATATTTTTTCCCACTCATGTTTATTTATTTATTTGTAGGAATTTTCAATAAAAATACAGTTCAATTTCCAACAAAACCCATATAAACCCAATATTAAAACTTTGTAGAAAACTTTTTTTTTTTTAAATAAAATTCATTAAATGGATTTAACAAATCTTTTATATTAAAAATGAGATCATTTTATAATATTATTTTTAAGAACAAAAACGAATATAATACCTTCGGAGGGTAATAATAAATAACACAAATCACTTATATAATAGTGATGTACAAACAGTTTTCGTTAAAAATGCGCATACTTTTTAAAAATATTTGTTTCAACACATTTTGCAATAGGACTGCGAAATTATTAAATTTATTATAACTCATATTAATTGACTATAGGTGATTTTAAAGAAGTTGTGGAAATAGCTGATCTCGCCTTATTATAGGTTTTTTTTTTAATTTTTAGCGCCGAGCTCTTAAAAGTG